GAACTATAAGGCAGTGAAGCAGATTATAGGAAGAAACATTTTCCCCCTTTACTGGTAGTGCTTGCTACCTGTGGAAGAGAGCGTGTATCTTTGTACCTCTTTTTACTACAGCTTTCCAGCAGGGTGATTTCTGAATAATAAAACTGAAAAGGGGGCCTTTTTTTCTCTTAAAATCTGCTTAAAGGTCTGAGTCTTCGTATTTGCTTGTGGTCCAACTTCATTGGCAATAAACTAGTATTCTGATTCCTACTTAATTCTTACTGTACTTCTCAATCAGTTTATAACTTGAAGAGGAAAGGAATGTGATTGGTCCCTTCACAAATCCCAATGTTGGCTTTCTTTCAGTTTGGAAAACAAATCCATTTGCCTTCAATGTTGTCGATTTTATCAACAGAAAGGTTTTGTGGATATTTCAAGAAGTTACCTACTTTATGGAAAGCCTGACATAATGTAAGCTGAGAGTATATATTCTGAGTATTTGGAGAGGTTGGAGCTAAAGAGGTAAATAAAAACTTTAATGGGAATGTTTTAAATTGGGTCTTGTGTTTTTATTTTAGTACTCATGATAAGTGGTAGATTTTGCCCACCAGGGAATATTTAGCAATATCTGGAAAATATTTTGGTTGTCACAATTTGGAAGGGGAAAGAGCAGGGTATGGCTACTGACATCTGGAGGGTGGAGTGGGTAGAGGACAGGGATTGCTCCTAAGCATCTTGAAATGCACAAGTCAAACTCCCCCACCACCCCCGCCAACAAAGAGTCTGACCCAAATGATAGTGCTACTATTGAGAAACTGTATAGTTTTACATTATACTGAAATTGTTGGTTCTGAATTCAGATTATCTGTGTTTGTATTTGACTTTACAATTTCCTAATGTGTGAACCTGGCAAGTTGCTTAAAGTTCCTGCCTCAGTTTCTATGAAAAAGCTAATAGTATGTTCCTTATAGAGTTGGGTTATAAGTGATGATTAAATCAGATGGTGTGACAAAGTGCCAAGCTAATTATTACCTGGCATGTAAAAAACTGAAACGCTGGTAACTTTCTGCTTAATACTACTTCATTTGGAACACATCTTGATGATCTCTTCCTATTTTTCATCTGAAATTAGACTTTGAGTAAATGAAGTGATAATTAATAATCTAGTTCTCATTATATCCTTGGGGAATGAGTGAAGAATTTACTCCTTTTAATATTTGTGTTTAGTTCAGTCTTGTTTTATGTTTTCAAATCTATAGGGCTTCTGCCATAAACAAGTAACTTCTCCAGGGGAGGGCTCAAGTGCTGGAGTACATGCTTAGTGTACACAAGTGTTCAATCCCCAGTACCTCCTCTAAAATAAATAAATAACTTAACCTAATTACCTCCCTCCCCAACAAAAAAACAAGTAGCTTCTCATTGTAAATGTTTTTTCTTCACAGTTAAGATTTTAAGCTAGATGACCAAAAAGAATAAAACATGCCAAAAAGAATAAAATATACACACATCCATACATAGATAAAATTTAAAAAGAAATTTTAAAAATGAAAAAAAGAAAAACAAAGAAATAAGCTAGCTGGCTAACGGCCCTACTCTATCTCTGTTGATTCTCAGCAAATATTTAGTAATTTAACTGAATTCAGTTGTTTGACTTGATCCCCATTTCCTTTTGCCTTTATAAACTGAAATAAATTTACAGTGGTTTTGGCTCACATTAATTATCTATTCTTAGCTTCTGTAACTATTTTCATAACCAAGGTTTTGGTGCAATTTTACATTTATGAAAGGTGCAGGCAAACATCTAACAACTTGGGGCTAGACCTAAATATACATTTGTGACTCTTTCTGAATCTGAATTGAAACCTGTATCTTTGTTTTCTGTTTTTTTTAACCTCATTGAAATATAATACTGTAGTCTATATAAACTTATTTTCTGTGTGTCTAAACGATATGGCTATTTAGAGTTGGCTTGTTATAGTGGTGGTTATAATACATCCTTTATGTAATAGAGAATTCACAGGGATCTTCACAGACAAAACAGACTTTGGACTGTTAGTAAGTCACTGGGCTCTTTTCAGGGAAAAAGATCCACACCATATTTATGATTAAGGGGAAAAGCAGTGTTGTACATTCAACTTTTTGTCTTTGATAACTATACTTGCAAAATATAAATTTTATTTTATTATTATATTTTGTTATATAAGTCTCAGTTGTTTCTATAAATGTTCACTCACATTAGCTAATGGAAACCTCTGTTTATCCTTTATATTGGTACTGCCTTCTGTTTGGATAGATTAGTTTGAAGGGAGTCAGTACCTTTGGCCAAGAGATCATGTTCTTTGCTTGGCACATTCCATCTTTTAAGTGAAACATACATTCAAGATTCTGTATAAATAACACAATTATGATAATGATGAGGAAGTGTCCACCTTGTGGAAACTGGCCAGATCAAAAGTATACATGTGGGAAATATAATAAAAGGCCAAAAGGAGACATTCTAAGAATGTTAGGCAACTGAAAAAAAATCATGTTAATAAGAGTTATCTTTGTTACTATCTTTTTAAGATTTAGTAATTTAGAAGAAAAGAGCCTACAAAGTATGACAGATTTATTTTCTACTTATACACTTTCCAGTTCCTAAGCAAAGAACATATGACTAGTAAATCCATGCTATAGTTGAGTTATCTTGTATGGCATTTGTGCCTCCCAGTGATTAAATTGAGAAAAACAAGTATCTTTCAATCTGCTGATGTGTGTTTGTTTATAAGTGGTCTGGAGTCCTGCCTGTCAGCTAATTTTAGATAGCCGGCATAGTTGTTGGAAGACAGACTATTTTCCCACTAAATGCTGTCATACAGATACATACTTGTATATGTGTATTTATGCATATTTGTCTTTTATTTTTGGTAGAAGATGATGCATCCTGTTGCCAGCAGTAATCCAGCTTTCTGTGGGCCTGGCAAGCCTTCCTGCCTCAATGAAGATGCCATGAGAGCCGCTGATCAGTTTGACATATATTCCTCTCAGCAAAACAAATACAGCCACACAGTCAGCCACAAACCAATGGCTTGTCAGAGGCAAGACCCATTAAATGAAACACACTTGCAGACTACCAGTGGCAGAAGCATAGAGATAAAAGATGAACTAAAGAAAAAGAAAAATCTCAACCGATCCGGTAAGCGTGGCCGACCTTCTGGAACCACCAAATCAGCAGGATACCGGACCAGCACAGGCAGACCCCTGGGAACCACCAAAGCAGCTGGATTTAAGACAAGTCCAGGCAGACCTTTGGGTACAACTAAAGCCGCGGGATACAAAGTCAGCCCAGGGAGACCTCCAGGTAGCATTAAAGCTCTATCCCGTCTTGCCGATCTTGGTTATGGCTGTGGCACCGCTGCTTTTCCTTACCCTATGATGCATGGTAGAGCAGTTCATGGGGTAGAGGAAACCAGCAGCGAGATCAAGCCACCCAATGAGTGAACGAGGCAGGAAAAGAGGGCCAGGTTTAGAAAGAAGATTTTGAATAATCCCAAAGCTTCTTGGTTTTATTTTGACATGATTTTGCAGCCTGGGCTTTCCAAATTTGTTTTCCTGTTTGTTTTTTTTCCCTGCTTCTGCTCGGAAACTGCCATATGCTGACAGATGCACTCAGGGCATAAGCAGTGGCATTGTATTTATACATAGGTTCAAATGTAACACCTGTTTAAATCATTTTTGCTTTTCCTTTAGAGTTATGGTTGTATCTCATATTTCACTACTACTTTTGGGTCATTCTAAATGGATGCTTTATGTGCTAAACAACTGAAACCATTATACCTGTTAGTTTGTGAAGTAAGCATACATTATGATAAAAATATCTAAGATATTTTTAACTGACGAAACAAAGCAACGTAATGATTCAGGATTACTTGAGGTAATGGCTGTGAGTTTTTATGACATTTATGTGTTCATGAGACAAGACACAGATATTTGTATACTTTGGCATTTACATGGACTTCATAAGTTAAAAATCTTATTTTTAATGTTCTAGGTTTAAGCAGCTTCTTATTTATTGATCTACATGGCATTAGTTGATTTAACCATTATTCTTTAAGAATTCTTTAGTGTTTGCCTTTCATCCACGATAGGTTGTGTATTTTTTAATTGCCTGAGAGCATATACCAAACACTACAAACAATTTGTATTTACAAAAAAATTAAACTTTTTAATAAAAACTGCACATTACATTTTTGGTGAAATACAATGCATTCTGAGAATAGCATATTTAATATAGAAAAAGAAACATTCTTAAGGTCTGCATGTAGCTATAGTTATTATGTTTTGCCTTTCATATACTTAGTTTTAAAGCATTATGCTTAAAACACTAATGTTGTTCGTTTATTAAGAACTGTTTTAGTTTTTTCTGAGTTGTGCCATTGCATTAGCACTTACTGTGGTTTCAGGTTTATATCTACCAAAGGGCACAAATTGAATGGTAGACTGTAAAACTGGTATAAACAAAATGTAATTTTCTGACTGTAAGAACCCAAATATTAAGAAATATATAGGAATCCATCTATGCATGAAACATATAAAAAATATGTTGGTTAGTTTAATTAAAAATCTCATTGTGGCTCTAGTGAGACCACTTCATCCAAAACAAAATTTTTTTTCCAACAGTGTTTGCTTTAGAAGCAAGGTAGATAGCAATGAAAAAAATGTATTGGGTAGGTATATATAGTAGGGACAGAGGGAAATCTCTTTTCTTCCTTTCCGAAAGTAATATTCTTTGTTAATATACATTTTATTTATTCTGAATTTGTTCTAAATAAAATAAACTATTATAAACTTTGGATTTGGAAAAAATTCCACTCAACTTTAAAGTTACAATATATTTGCAAGCTTAAATGCCTTTGAGATTATAATGTAGATTTGAAGGACCCCAAAACTTTAAAAATAATTAAATTTTTTAAAGGGCGCATATTGTGTTATTTGGGCTTGCTCTCAATTAATGCAAACTCTGATTGCAAATGGATGTCATGTTTCATACCTTTTTTATCAGGAAAAAAGCAGCAAGCCTTCAGGTGTTCCAGTGATGCCTGACACAATGAGCTGGACTTTATGCTGCTCTTTACAGTAAGAGGTGTTGCATTGTATGTGGGGACTGTGTGTGCACTGGCATCTAAGACAGTGACCTCAACAATTTTAGTTTTGCACAAACCAGAGAGAACAATGTTGGATGACTTACATATAATCAGTTGTAACATGCTGGCAGCTAAATTGCTATAGGAGTTTCTTCTTGCAGAAACTTAAAATATAAAAGTTAAATAATTTACTCAAAACGGTATAACTTCTGACACAAATGCTTACATCTTTATTCATATGTTCATCTATCCACTTTCATTATGTATCTGTCATTTAGCTGTTTCTCAAGATGATTTTCAGCAGTTGGCTGCTTAGAAATCCTCTTTTGAGTTGCTGAAAACAGTTGGTTAATTAAATGTTCTACCACAGAATTATGTATGTCATTGTCAAGGATTGGTTGCATGTTGTGTTTTATAGTATGCCTATTTGACCTTTCTCTGTCAGTTTATTTTCAGTCCTGATTTTCTTACACATACTCTGCCCTTTCTCCCTACCCTTTCCTACATTCGTTCTCTTTTTTCTTTCTACACCCTCCAGCACATCTACTCAGTAGTGCTGTGCTGTGTGTCAGAAGATAGAGCAGGTGTATTATTGTATAATGAATTTTGTGCACATGTTAATGAAATGATGAAATCAGCTAAAGGAAGTATGTTCATGGCAGTGTTTATTAACATGAGGAGCTATGTCCCAGGAAAAAAGGAGGGCAAATGGCTACTACTTTTGTGAATGGATAACATCATTTAGAAAGGTGAATTTCCTGTTAATGTGAGTAGTTACCTGGAATATTATATCTGTATGCTGATGAGCATCTCCTGATTCTACTTCCTTTTCTCCTTGTGAACAGTTTATTGGTGCCATGTTGAACAGAAAGACAGATATCTAAGTGATAACATGAATGAAGTCTTAAAATATAAAATATTTTTACTTATCTCTAAAGACTACATTGTGCATCTTTTGTAACACTGTCTCTTGTCATGATAAACACTGAAATAGCATGTTAAACAATTGCCTATACTTTAATATAATCAGTAGGGGAAAACTGGCCTTTTCCTCCCACTGAATGATTATTCCTTGAAAGGTAAATTGCTAATTTTATATTGTGTCATTCTGTTCTTCACAAAATAGGTTTCACTATTCTGTATTAAAACTGTTGGTCAGAAATTGATCTGCTATTCAAGTAAGTTTGCTTTACTTTTTTTCTTTAAAAAATATTTTAACATGCCTTATTTATTATTCTTTTATTAACAAATTAGGAGCTAATACAGATGAATTTTTTTTTTTGGCAGATATATCCTTGCATAACTAATCTTTAATGTGGGATGATTTTGATACTATCTTTGGAGTTTTGCACTGGATATATAAAAAAAATACTAGCACAGTGTATTGGAAAAAATAAGTATCCAATTTTTAATATTTGGGGATGTTTTAAAAATCAGTGTTTCAATTAGACTAAAAGATTCTTTATATTTTTTATTTACTTTTTAAAAGAAACATCTGTTAAAGTAGTACAAGTAATATTTATTCCAAACTCATGTTTGTGTGAATTTACATGTGTATTTTCATGAAATAAGAATAGAGTTTTCTTTGAATTAAGGAGGGAAAATAATTATCTGGATTTGTTTATTAGTTCAAAAGTGATTCATCCATTGTAAGAAAAACCAGTGTATGAGCTCAAGAAAAAAAAAACAACTTTTATATTCTAAGAAGCTTTAAAAGAACAATTCAGGGGATGTTGACAATAACTGCTACCCTGTCAGTCATTGTCCATATATGCAGTAAAATTTTATAATCCTTTTATAGTAAAATTAAAAGAATTCACAACAGTTGTTCAAAACATTTTTTTTTCTTTGGACATAAAATATTTTGATGCTATTATGTTTTTGTTTTTATTATAGTTTAACTATATGCTATTAAACTCTAGGATGTATCTAAATCTTTCCTTTGCTTTTTCCCCTTCCCTCCCCCCAAGTAGGTAAATCTGTGTTCTCACATAGAATGTGTTTAATTTTTGGAAAATTTACTCTGATGGTAAATCAAATGTGTGATTTATAGTAATCAGATCACTTTGATTCTTTAAGTTTCACAGTTTCCTTTTTCCACAGATAATTATGGAGAATAATTACCAATTAACTGATTCAAGCACGCTGTCCTCTGCTGTAAAAAGTCTGAATAGATACTGTGTATGTTTTTATGTCCATGAACTTGAGCTACTCGTGTGCAATTATGTGTATGGGAATGGAGTAGTGTTCATGATTTGTATCTATATCATCATATGGATGTATATTTATTAATAAAGTCATTACTTTAAAACCAGTTATGTTTACTACTTTATTTCTTAGCAGAGTATTTTCCAAGCAGGGTAATTAAGAATGGCAACCCTCTTTCATGTTTGTGGGTCTTGTATTTTTCTTGGGTTGTGCTTTCTGAAATCTACCTCTCTATACTTTTTTGTTTTTCTCAAAATAGTAATTATTTATATATTTGTAATTCAAACTTCTAACTTATAAATGGATCTCATTTTCTTCCCAGCATTAAGATACTTCAGGCTAATAGTTCTAAAGGCTTAAATTTAAATGTGATTGATCTTTTTAGTCTAAAAAATTTAGACATTAAATATGGCTAATTTTTTTAACCTTAGGGAGAACAGCATGTGCATTTTTTGTAACTCAAATATTGATGATGTAAAAAGAAAAACACTTCCCCCTAATTATTTGAACCTTTTCCATTTTCTCCGAATCCTGCAGATCACCTAGAACAGACCCAGTGCCTGTTTTTGTAAATAAAGTTTTATTGGAATAGCCATTCCCATTTGTTTACATACTGTCTCTTGCTGCTTTTGCACTACAATGACAGTTAGTAGTTGTGACATAAGGCCTGCAAAACCTAAAATATTTACTGATTATTCCTTTCTTTTACAGAAAAGTTTGCTGACCCCCCTCATCTAGAAGGGTAACTAGAAGTTTGTACCTTTTAAATCCATTCATCCATTAAGTGCCCACCACTGCCACCCATCTGTTGGAACCACCAATCAGTTCTCTGTATCTGTAAGCTTGGTTTTTGTTTTTGTTTTTTGGATTACACACGTGAGATCATTACAGTATTTTTCTTTGACTTACTTCACTTAGTGTAATACCCTTAGGATTCATCTATGTTGTTAGAAATGGCAAGATTTCATTCTTCTTTATGGCTGAATCATGTTTCTATATATAGATAAATGTGTTATATAGATAAAGATTTCTGTGTCTATATATCACATTTTCTTACCTATTTTGTTGATGGATACAAGTTGTTTCCATATCTTGGCTATTGTAAATAATGCTGCCATGAACATGGGAGTGCTTATATCTTTTGTGTTAATGTTTTCGTTTTCTTCAAATAAATACCCAGAGTGGAATTGTGGGATCACATAGTAGTTTTATTTTTAATTTTTTGAGGAACCTCTATACTGTTTTCCATAGTGGCTGCACTAATTTACATTCCCACTGGTAGTGCACAAGTGTTTGCTTTTCTCCACATCCTCATCAATGCTTGTTATTTCTTGTTTTTTTGATAATAGGCATTCTAACAGGCGTGGAAACCACTCTTGAACATAAAGAATTTGTTACATTTTAAGTAAAAAATACATTTAAGTTAGTAATTTCCCCAAGTTTTCAACTGGCCTAAAAAATTCAATAATCTTAATAACTATTGAACATCTCTACAGTGTAGCAGCTCAAGTCCCTACCCTCAAGGAACCCACAGTGGAAGACAAATGCCTTAGTATGTAGAAATTAAGCTATGTAATGCCAATTTTTATTTGTTCTGAATAAAAATTTTAACATGTTTTATCTCTCAAATTAGCTAATTAATTTTAGCATAGAGCTGTGGAAACTCCAGCCCACCTGCTTAGTCCTAAACTTTAGGCTTGTTTTCAGATGAATTTCAACAGAAAAACTGGTTATTGTGCTTTTTCTTTTTTATCAGGTAAGAGATCATTCATAAATCGTGATGGTGCTGGCTTTTAAATCACGTTGGGAGCTACTTATATGGCTATTGTGCTCCCTCTGTCACATGAAAGAGACAAATAATAACTACAAAATGTTACGCATCCTCAGTATGCCAGGTGCAGAATGGCTGATGACTGAAACTGATTTTTTTGGAGTAACTGTAGGACTGTAACTAAAAGAGCACACATACAAAAAGTGTTTGTAAAAATTCTGTTTAAATTTTTTTTATTTTAGAAATAACAAAATTTATACAAAATTTAGTCAAAATAGAGTCAATGACCCTCCATGTGACCATCACCATGCATCAGTAATTAAAAATTCAAGGCCTGTCTTTTTTCATGTACATCCCCACCTACTCTCTGCCCCACTCAATTATTTTGAAACAAATTCTCCAATCAAGTAATCCTAAAATATTTCAATAGGTATCTATAACTAATGACTTTCTAAACATACAAGCATGATACTATTATTATTCATTAAAATAATTATTATATATCACCAAGTATCCAAACATAAAGTCGAACTAATTGTCCCATAATTATAAAAATTTTCTTCTAATTGCTAAGTCTCTATATTGAAGTGTAATTTACATATCAAAAAATTTTACCCATTGTAAGTATACAGTTTATTGTATTTTGTATGACTGTCCAATTATCCCAGCATTGTTTGTTTAAAAGGCTATCTTCCCTCCATTGAATTATTTTGGCATGTCTATTGAAAATCAATTGACCATAATTGTATAGGCTTTTTTCTGGGTTTTCTTGTCTATCCCATTGATCTATATGTTAGTACTTATGCCAATACTACACTGTCTTGATTTCTATAGTTTTATAAGTTTTGAAGTTGGGTAGTATAAGTTTTCTTACTTTATTTTTCTTCCTTAAAATTGTTTTGGCTATTTTGGTCTTTGTATAGATTTGGTCCGTATAGATTTTAGGATAAGTTTGTCAGTTTCTA